AGGAATGAAGGTGTTTAACCACTGTCGCCTTCTCTCTTTTAAATCCTGTCAGTCTTCTGTTCAGACCAACACTGGACAGAAGCTGCTTCATGCAACACAGACTGTTTAATATGCCTTTTCAAATTTCATTTCTGGACATGAAAAGCAAAATCATTTTTTTCTCTCATTTCTTGAAATTCTGAGTTTTTGGGGAATTGCCTGCAAAGCGTCTGAAGGACACTGATATCACATAGAAAAAATACAAACAAAAACAAACAAACCAAAAACAACCAGGGCAGAGAGAGCCAAGGCAATAATAACAGAGCAGAGCTGAGAGTCCTAGACAAACAGCGGGGAGGTGTAACACTAAGGCTGCTGTTAACACAGACCTGTTTGTCATCGAGCATTAAACATCAAGCTCACAGGACAGCTGTGTGTGTGTGTGTGTGTGTGTGTGTGTGTGTCTGTGTGTTGGGTTGGTGGATGTGTGGTTGAATTGTGTGCCCACAAATGTGTATACTTGTGTGAAGGAGAAAGTAAGGTTGGTGTAAGTGTATGTGTGGGTGGGGGGGTGGTGTGTCTGGCAAAGACTCTGCCCTGCTGCAACTGATTTACTCAGGCCAGACATACAGTCTGCACATATTCACCTGCATCACACACACACACTCACAGAGCCATGGGCACATCTGGAGAGCCATCAGCAGTTTGCTGTCACTTAACTGGCCTTCTGCACGTGGCACTAGATGAGGTCCTGTGTGTGTGTGTGTGTGTGTGTGTGTGTGTGTGTTTGTGTACACAGAGCAGACCTTGAGTGTGACCCGAGGTCTGTGTTTATTAATGGGCTGTCGCAATGTATCTGTTTACTGAGAGACTGACGTGCATCCATCACTAAACAACATCAGCTCCCTCCTTCCTTTTCTTTGAAGCTGCAGGAGAGATCCTGATGCTCAAAGACCATTCTAGATCCAGACACTTTCTTGCCTTCTCTTCCTCTCCACATGCTTCTGTATTGATGTGCGAGGCTGGCTGAGGAGCAGAGCAGATGATTTCATCCACACCAGTGCACATACACAAAGCAGCAGACAGACAGGCAGGAAGGAAGCGTCAGCCAGTCTTGTCAATGGTAAACTATGTTAACTGTCTGCAGCTTATTTTCCAGTAAGCAAAATAATGTGGTGAAATGGTGTACTATCATTATTATTATTATTATTATCACCATCGCTTTTGGCTGTTGTACTTGTTATATACTATGGATTGCACATTATTCATAGTGCACTGGATTATGTGTTGTGGTGCCCAGGGTGGTAGCTTTTTGTGCTGCAGTACTGTTACAAATCACACCAGCTAGAATGTAGCACAAAAATAACACTATTACATATTTTGGCATCAGTT